GTTTGGGGGGCGGGGGTTTACCACAACATGAACTGTACTGAAGGATCACGGTATTAGGAAGGTTGAGAACCACTGTTCTAAGAGGTTCCCCAGGCGGCGGCAGCAGCCCCTGCCCAGGGACGTCCATCCAGCCTGCCAGGCCCTGCCCCGATGGTGCACAGGGCAGGAAGTAGCAGCACGGGTCCCAGCTGCTGGGTATCAGCGCTCCTCCCCTCCTCAATGAGCCCCTTCAACATCTCAGCCGTGGGGCGGCCACCAGGTCCAGTCACCATATTTTTTGCTACTGTAGCGAGTCGTACCTCTGACCCTGAAGTTGGAGTTACCTGGTCAAGGCAAGTCATGTCAACCTTGAGAACTCTGTGTCCTCGTCCGAAGGAGCCCCGTGGCACAGTGTTGACCCGTCGGGGCCGCTAACCGAGAGGTTGAACACCACCAGCCAGCTCCGCAGGAGAAAGACGAGTCTTTCTACTCCCGTAAGGAGTGGGAGTCTTGGCAGCTTCACCGGGCAGCTCTGCCCTGTCCTGTAGGGTCGCTGGAAGTCGGCAGCGAATTTGGTTTCTAGCTTCGTTCTCGTCCATCAGCTACGTGTGTCTTGCCACGGTTGTGAGGACGTCAGGGGCTCGTGGTGACGGGTGTTGTGGTGCTGGTGACGGTGCTGGTGGCGAAGTGCAAGAGGTGGTGGTGGCCTGGGTGGTGGTGCTGATGATGGCGGTGTGGAAGAACGATTCTATGCAGGAGGTGGGGGGTAGGGATGGGCACGGTGACAACGGTGAAGAAAATGCGACTCCGGTGTGCTTTTCTGCAGGGTCACTGGCGGAGAACTCTTTGAGGACATTGTGGCGAGGGAGTACTATAGTGAGGCCGATGCCAGGTGAGTGCAGCGCCCCTCTCCCCCTCCCACCCTACCGCCTTCCTCTCCCTCACACCCTCTATCCTTCCTCCCCTGACCCTTTCCTGCCCTCTTTCTAAGTCCAACGCTGTTTCTGTGCCCCTTTCCCCTTCATGGCCGGGCAGAGGGTTCGTCAGGAGGCCGTGTTGGCTCGGCTGGCTCACACTGCCCTCCAGGCTGATGACCGTGAGGCCCCACGGAGAGCTTGGCCTTCGCATGTTTTGATGGGCAGTGGGAGATGGCCTTGGGGGAAGGCGTGGCCTATGGCCTGAGTGTGGAGGCCTCAGCCTCCTTGGCTGCTCTGGGGTTGGAGGTACCTCTGGTGCCTTGACCCAGACTCTGAGCACACCGACCCCACGAGTCGGCAGCCTCCATGGCGCTGGTCAGGAAAGGAGAAAGAACCAAGAGTGAGCATCCCGGTCCCTGCCTGCCCATCTCTTAGAATAAGTCTCAGTCCACGGCCTGTCACGGGCCGGGAATGCGAACCTTTCTTATAGCGGTGAACAGACGAACCATTTCTAAGACGGGGCCAGGAGTCTTTTTCCACAGAGCCTGGAGCCCCCAGTTGGAACCCACGAGAAGAGTGGGGTCCTGTGTTAATGAGTGGTGGGTGGGAAGGACACTCAGTTGGGGGTGCCAAGTGTCAGCTCCCTGTCCCTGGAAAGTGAGGTCCACACATGGTCCCCTGCAGGTCCAAGTGCCACTCAGATCCGTAGCCGGGGACATCCTGAATTAACAGTGCACTTCAGCTCAGGGGCAGCCGGGATGGCTGCTCACTGACTCCTAGCTGACACGTGGTGTGAAGGACAGGCAGCCAGGGCCCGGGCATGGACTTGGTACAGGCCTGCTGAACTGTGGGTGAGCCCTGGTGACACTGTGGGTTCAACTTGGGCTGCTGACTGACAGGTCAGTCGTTCAGACCCACCGGCCCTCATCGGGAGATGAACTTATCAGCTCCCACAACTGTCCAGTCTTAGAAACTTGGGCAGGATCGCCCTGAGTTGGGATTGACCTGATGGCAGTGGGGTCAGTTCTTCAGGTGGGTTTTAAATAGTCGAGCATTTATTTAACAAATCTGTATTACCTTCCTCGTCCAGACAAATGCATGTGGGATTGGTTTGGGAGGCCTTGCTGTCTGTGGGGTGGGCGGCCAGTTCAGGAAGCTGTGCTGGGCCCGGCCTACTGCTCCGGGAGCAAGGGAGTGTGGGACAGGCTCTCAGGGAGAGGGCATGCTAACGGGTCCCCTGGAGACTGCTGTCATCCCTAGACTCTTGAGGGTCCTGGCAAAGTCAGGCCAACGGCTCTCCCAAACCCCCTCATTCTTAGCCCGCATATCAGATCCTTGGGCAGGTTAGAACGGAACACTGGTTGGAGTGAAAAAACCTGCCTACAGACCAGATGGCTGCTGGTCCTCAGGGTCCCTGTCTAGAACCTGTCCTCTTACCCCACAGGCCTTGCCCATGCCCCACTCCTCTGAGGCTCCTGAGCACCCCACCCCTCGTCGCTCACACCCAGTACCAGTCGTCCCTGCCAAGTCAACTTCTGTGGTCCTGAAGTTCTCATCCTCTCTCTCCCTTCCCCACACTCGCCATCCTTTCTGCCTCCTCTCCTCTCCATTTCTCTGGTGCCCCTCCCTGCCAATATCCCCGAGGCAGCAATGTCCCCTCCTCCCTGCTGCCGCCCTGGCTAGCTCTGCTCCGCATGCCCCTGCCCACCAGACAGTAGAGAGTCTGGCTCATACTCACCTTTGCACACCTCCAGGGACCTGGAGGTCAGTGTCAGACTCCCCCATCTCAGACTTGGGGAAGCCAGACTGCCTGCTGCCTTGCCACGCAAACAACCTAGACCTACCCTGAATCGCCACCAAAAATGAGGCCTGGGGGTGGAGCCAAGGAGTGCAGGTGCCAGGACCACACAGGAGGGGCCTGGCTCCGGGCAGCAGGCATGGTCAGGGCTCACAGGAACTCGAGCCCAGCCCCGGGTCCTACCAGGTCACTGTCTGCCCTCTGCAGGAGAAAGCCTCTCCTGAGCACCGGAAGACGTGGCCTTGGCGTCTCCCTGTCTTTTGCACCCTGCTTTCTTATTGCATGTCTCTGAAGGAGGCCGGTGAGGGGTAAGAACAGGGTGCCAGCCTGTATGGGAGCTCAGAGCTGCTCGGGAGCCTGTGGACGCCAGGGGAAGAGACCGTGGGCATTTCCTGTGGTTCTGTGACAAGGCTTTTGAGGTTGCAGGAATCTTCCTGGAGCAAACCGTGCTGGTGGGGGAGGCAGAGACAAAGAAGGCTGGGGCCTCAGCCTATCTCCCCCACCTCCCCTGCTCCTCCTTTCCCAGGCCCACCCTCTTGGAGGCCTGTACTGCCTATGACCTTCTCAGCCCACCCACAAAGCCTGCATTTATTCTTCCCAGAAACTTTGCAGCTTTGGGGGGAGATGATTGTTCAAATAAGAGGGAGATCAGTAGGTAGCGGTGCGGGGGAGGGGAGCAGACAGTTGGCCTCCACTCTGTGGGTTTGTCAGGCATAGAGGTCATCACAGGGCAGCAAGCAAGTGGAAACAGACCTCGTGGCCAGTGTGAACACTGGCGTGGCCTAGTGAGCTCCTGGGTTCTGTGTTTGTGGGTCAGGAACACCACTTCCTCGGCAGCACGGCTGGGCTTCCATCTCTGTGCCTGTGTGCCGCCCTAGGCCATGGCATCTGATGGGCCCTCTGAAATGTGAGCCCTGCTCCCTGGTATCACCATAGCTTTTAAAGGGCTAGACCTGGTGACAGGGAAGTAGCAAAGGGCATTGACTAGCAGCTCCAAGAGAACCGATGACCCGGCAGAGTGGTGAGATGGAGCTCAGCATTATGTACACACTGCAGATTACGATCAGGTTTCTGCCGAGATGGAAGAGATGGGGACCAGCATGGCCTGGGGAGGGATGGCTCAGGGCTGACCAAGCAGGCTAGGGCCCAAATATGGCCTTGTAGTCCTTCCAGGATCCTGCCCAAGGCTGAACCATGGAATACCCGAGGGACTTCCCATGCGCTCTCTTAGGAGAGGAGACGAGGAGAGGCCTTGCCTACTGAACCCAATTCTACCCTGTAAGGTTGAAGAATGCTCTTGGGAGCAGGAGAGATTTTTGAGTCATGGCTTGTTAGGAACCCTAGAGGTGTATGTACACGTATGTCCCTTGTCAACCGGAAGACAGTCAATTCCACGATGTGCGGCGCTTCCTGAGGAGGAATGTGACTGAGGATTGCTAGTTAAAGGGGTCTCTGAAGTGAAGGACTGACCATGCAGTCCTGACCGGAAGACACCGGAGCAGGCTGGGGTGTCTGAGTGGACACACAGCCCTGCTCAGAGGAGACCAGATCAGCACTCCACATGCGATTTGAGAACCAGCTGCCCCCAAAGGGGACTTGTTGGCCTGTTTAGAAATGACAAAAAGCCCGGAGAGGCGGCACATGCTAGCAGGGCACTCCTCCGAGAGGAGGGGCTTCCTAGGGTAGCTGGAGGAACAACATGCCCAGCTGCAAGTGTCACCATCCGCAGAAATGAGCCTAATGCCAGGGTCCGCTGAGGCCATGCAAAGCACAGAGGAGGGCACTCTGCCATCGGGTTCTGTTTCCCCAGTGAGGTGCCTCAACACAGGACTCTCAGTGCTGGGAGGCCCCGGAGTGCTTCCAGGGGACCGGCTGTGCAAGACAGCCATGCCAGGTGTCAGACAGATGTCAGCACTATTCGTAGATCTTGGGGAGACCATAAGACATGCACAGTGCTGGTCTAGAGGGTGCACCCCTGCAAAGACCAGTGGAGTCCCCACCCCTCTGAGTGGACATCCTGGGCAAGGGGGTGGGCACATGAGCATATTGATTCCACACATACATATCCGGCTCCTGGCACCACGGAAACCATAGAGTACAGTCCTCCTGTCATGGCGCCGCAGCCCGGTGGCAAGGTGAGCACCCCAGGGGAGCTCTGCTGTCCAAGGCCTTGTGGGGCACACTGAGGTGTGCGGGTGGAGGACAGTGATCCTGCGCTAAAGCCAAGAGGTGCTGTGGGCTTCATCCCGAGGAGAGCCACCTTGCTGGAGACAGTGAAAGGCTTCCCCGAGGCGGGCTGCCTAGGGCTATCCTGTGCCCAGTGCTGACTGTCCCGCACTGCCCGCGCTGGGTGCCACCAGTGACGTGCTTGCTGAGACAGAGGGGACCCAGCACCACAGCCAGCCTTTGGAGGTTGGGAGGCCACTGCCAAGCTGTGCTGTGCGTGAGAGGACTCTGCACACAAGAAAATAAGGACGTGCGAATCATGTTTCCAGGGCAGAGAAGCTAAGATCTGTGGACACCACCCCCGTACCCTCCCAGCTGTCTCTTGTGCCCTCTCCTGCCTTAGGGTGACACTGCGGTGGGAAGAGGTGCCCCTTCAGCTCAGGCACTGCCTGTGCATCAGGCAAGGCCCCTGTTCCTTGCCAGCGAGATCCAAGAAAGACCAGCACCACAGCTGTGCTAGTCTGGGTGGACAAGAGGATCAAATTCATATATATGTGTATATATATATATAACAAAGAGCTTTATATAAGGATCAAGTCCCTAAGTTCGATATTAGCCCATAGGATCAAATTCATATATATGTATATATATATAACAAAGAGCTTTATATAAGGATCAAGTCCCTAAGTTCGATATTAGCCCATATGTCCAATACCAATCTATAAAGTTCTCTCTTCAGACTCCCAAAACACTTGCAATGGTGCTGAATGCAGGAAGATCACAGGCCAGTGGGTGGGAAGTCTTGTGGATCCAGTGGTTGTAAGCATCTCAGCGCTGGCAGGGGTCCCCACGTGGCTTCTCCAGCTCAGGGCACTATCATAGCTCCATGTGTCTTGTCAGCTGCAGTGTCTCCCAGGGAGTGAGTGTGTGTCCTGCCTCCAGCTAGCTATCCAAATGAGGTCATCAAGCTGCAACCTGATCGACAGGCTAAACTCCACCCCCTCATTCTTCATAGTCTCAAATTGATGAAAGATTATGTAACGTTAACAATGGCTCCCCTCTCCCCAGGGCCACAGCTTAGTAGGAGTGAGTGCATGGAAGGTGGTAGGTCCCTGGGGGACTACGCCTGGGTTTCTCAGCCCATCTGGGGTACAGAACCTGCGTGCTCTAGGCCAAGAAAGAGCATAGATAGATAGCTATCTCCATCGATAACTCAGTAGGAAAGAAACATTGGGCAGGGCAGGGGGTTGCTGGCCCAGGCTCTAATGAGGACAAAGGTGCCCTTCCTCCAGTGACCACAGGAATAGGGACACAGCCCCATGCTGGAGAGGGGCACGGTAGGGAGGGGGCAAAGAGATCCTCCTAAGTCGTGCAGCAAGGAGCAGGGCAGGTTTTCTCTAACATCTGCAGACCCAGACTCTTTTGATCCCCATGGACATCAGGGAGCCATGCTCCCATCGGAACTCGACACCTGGCGTTTCTCGGGGGCAGAAGCAGACTTTGTTTCTGGATGTGGAGACAAGCGGGGTGGGAGCTGTTTGTGGGACCATTGGTCCCGTTCCCGGTGGATCCCACAGCCATGATTAGCTCTGACAACTGCTCCGGTGGCCCTTTGTCTCCCCCACTCACTCTCTGTGCGCCTAGACTCCAGCGTGTTCAGAAATGGGGCCTCACCCACCACCCCTGCCAGCCAGGATCCAGAGGGAAGCTGCCTTAGGGGCAGCCAGGCTGAGGGTGTTCCGGGTCCTGAGAGGCATAGGCCTGTTTCAGGGGTACCTGGGGTGAAGGTGCAGGTGGTCTAGGGAGGGGCAGGCCTTCGTGTGGATGAGGACTGAGTGGGCCCTGCACCCTGAGGGGCAGTGAAAGAGCGAAACTGGCCGTCTTGCCACCTCCCTGTAGCCGGCCATATGCTGGAAGTGTCCTGAACTCTTCACCAGGTGCACCAGGGGCCCCTCATCGGCTGCTGCCTTCCAGCCGCCCACCAGGGATTATTGGGGCTCCCTGTGCTGTGGGGCACATGTGACCAGTGGTTACAGCAGAGGCACCGGTGCCGAAGGGTGCAGCCTGCAGACCCTCAGTACACAACCCTGCCCTCCCTTCTGCTGCCCAACCTTGGGTCTCCTGGGCTTCTTCCTCATCCCCTCCCTCCTGCTTCCTCAGTTTGGGCCTCCCTCCTGAGGTCAACCAAGGGCCTGGAGGGGCTCTAGGCAAAGGGTGGGTTTTTTCTCTGTGGCCTTCCCCTGTCTCCTCAGCTGACTCATCTAGGGCAGGCAGAGAAAGGGCTGGCTTGGCTTAGGGGTGGCTTCTGGTTAGGCCCCGGGCTACCCTTTGGGGGTGAGGAAGGCATGGTGTCTTAAAGCTCCTTGCTCACCAGCTCTCCCCGCTCCCTGGAGTTGGAGCCTCGGTTTCCACAAGAGCTTAGTCACCCTAGAGACCCTACCCCAAGGCCCCCATGCCTTCAGGGATTTCTGTGTATCCCCAAGGCCCTGCCCACAGTGCTTCCCAGAGCGGAACCAGGATGCTCTGCTGGCTCCTCGTCCCCACCCTTCTCCCTTCTTCCCACCTTTCCGGATGGAGGGAGGGCCTCTCCTGGGAAGCCCCACATCTGTCCCAGCCAAGGCTTGTGGCCTGGTCCCAGGAGGTTAGAGAGGCCTGGCTCTGTCTTCACCAGGACCTTCCTTTTGGGTCTCAAGGAGTCCCCTCCCAGGGAACAGGACTGAGCGCAGCCATCTGTCCGTCCGTCTGCCCCCTCCTCCGGCTGCCGCTCCTCCTCCCCTAGCCCCTTAGGCCTCCACCGCCCCCTGGGTGCCACCGCGCACAGAACTAACCGGCCCTGGTGTTTGCAGTCACTGCATCCAGCAGATCCTGGAGGCGGTGCTCCATTGCCACCAAATGGGGGTCGTGCACAGAGACCTCAAGGTGAGTGTCGTTCCCCCCCCCATCCGCGGGCCCCCTGTCGTCTGCATGTCGCTGTCAGGGAAACCTGGTAGGAGCAGGGCAGGCAGACTTCTGCTCCAGGAATACACCCTATGGCACCCCACAGGTGTGCCTGCCACCTCCGGCAGCCCCCTCAAAACCCACCTGGGGTCTTTGTTGGGAAGGGCTCCCAGGATGCACAAGACCCAACCCTGCCCAGGCTGGCGGGGCGTAGCCTCTGCCCAGCTGATGGCAGTTGCAGCGGGGAGGTGCCTCTCACCCCAGCGCTTTCTCTAGGTCCACCACCTGGGCTCTGTCCAAATCAAAGAAAGGCTAGCAATGTGGAGCAGGCAGGGAGGCCGCCCAGGAGGAGCAGCGCTCCAGCAGCCGCAATTGCTCCCTCTCCCTGCTCACTCTTGCCTTCTCCCTGCGTTCCCCCCACCCCCGCCCCCGCCCTCCTTCCTTCCATTTCTTTCACTCCCTTCTTCAGCCCCAGGTTTCTCCAAACTGGTTTGGGGCTGGTTCTTCCTCCAGGAGCTGCCCTGTAAACTCTAGACCTGTCCCCCTGCCCAGAGGCCGGTGGATGGCTTGTGACAGGCCTTCCCCCAGGCTAACACGCTAAATGGGGCCACGCCCTTCCTTGGCAGAGAATGGGGCCTGGGCTGATTCCCTCTGCTGCTCTAGGGCAGGTGGTCACGATTCCACATGAGGACAGTCACAGGACGCTCCCCATGGACTCTGGGAGCTGCCAACCTTTCTGATGCCCCTACCCTGGTGCCTCCTGTCTGCATGTCCTGTCTGGTCAACCTCGTGTGCCCTTCTTTGTCTTCTGTCCTGTGTGCGTGCCTCGCTGAGCCTCTGGCTGTGCAAGAGAGGCCTGGCTGTCTGGGAGGGAGCCCCTGTGCTCCCCATGAGATGGGGCGCCTGAGCCTGCTGCTTGGACACAGTGGCATTCCTGTGAAGCGGGTGTGGCAGCCTGCACCTCAAGTGCCCATGTTACTTATCTAGGTAATTCTGAGGCAGAGACGTGGAGGCATGCTGCCCCCACCCCTGAGCGCCTGGCTGTGACCTGGGAGCAGGTAGAATCCTTCCGGTGAGAGACAGGCGGTGAGGAAGCTGCAGTGACCCTTGTAGGTACCGGAAAAGAAGAGGCCTCCCCTCGGGAGAGACCCAGAGGGCCAATGGGGCTGTGGGGTCTGATCTGAGCCCACGGACGGTCATGCAGGAAACCCGGAGGAACCATTGGCTCTCAGAGCACATCACCATAGGGGACAGATCCCTACAGCATGGGTCAGAGGGCACGGGACACCCATTCTCCAGGGTCAGACAGCTGCAGTGGGCGCAGGATAATGGAGAAGACCAAGGAGACTGCTCCCTGCCGCCTCTTCTGGCTGTCTCTGTCTCCACCTGCCCTTCCTAGAAACTGGGGGAAGACATTCTAGAAACCAGGGGAAGACATTCTGGCGGGTTCTCTCTCTCTCTCTCTCTCTCTCTCTCTCTCTCTCTCTCTCTCTCGGCAGGGTAAAAGAGACTTGGGGCCTGGTTTTCAGAATGATAATCGGGATTCTCTCCCCCAACCCCACCCCAGGAGGGGCCAACCCCACTCCCTTCCCTACAAGGGCCGGGTGCTGTGGTGTGCTCGACACACCCGCCACATTCTCTTGTCAGAAGGCCAGGTCACGCTGACTGCATGTCTCTGCCCCAAGCTGGCAGGACCCTGCTAGCGGCTCTGACTCTGTGCGTGTGTGGTGGGAGTGGGGTGGTGGGGTGGTGCACGGCGAGGTTGGGACTCCTAGCCCGTTCACACTGGTGCAAGGCAAGATGAGCCCCTCTCAATCTAGACCTTGGGGGTGGGGGCGGGGGAGGACAAGTGTGACTGTGGCCATGGGAAACTGAAGCCAAGGCAGGGAACAGAGCCTGCAGGGGGCCTTGTCCCCCACTTGCTCTGGGCTTTGCCCTGGGGGCTTGAGGTTCTGGAGAGCCCCACTCCCAAAGCTCCGAGGGGAGCGGAGTTGTGTGTGTCAGTGGTTCTGAGCTGGAGTCGACTTGAGTTTGGCTTGGTTTCTCTGGGGTTTGTTTGTTTGTTTGTTTGTTTGTTTGTTTGTTTTTTAAGGACTCCACTCGTTCCCTCTTTTTTTTTTAATTTCTGAAGTTGCGATGCATTTAAAAAGCCGTTTCATTGATAAGGTGTTGTTTCGTCTTGTGGAAAGCAGTGACATGCTTTCGACAGATGGGATCTGGGGACTGAGCGGTGGGAGGGAACACTTGCTGCAGAGACAGCCTCCAGCTCCAGAGAGCCTGCTGCATAGGGACCTCCGGCTGCTCCCCTCAGGGTGGCAGGACTGGGTACCTGGGGAGGCAGGTGCTCACCAGCTGCTGGAGGCCAGAAACCCTGGCCAGGTGGGAGTGGGGAGGGGCACAGCTCTGAGGTCCTGCAGCTGCCTAGACCCCTTGGCAGCCCCCTGGCTGAGTGCCCTTTGGTGACAGTGCAGCAGTTTCCTCAGCTGCTTCCCTCAGGACTAAGGAACCAGTCTCCTTCCTGCTTAGCAAGAGTCTTGCTATCCCAGGGTGGGTGCGAGTGGGCTGGGTCATCTTGCCTACAGCCTGCCCTTGTAATGTACTAGCCAGTTCAGGCAAAGTCAAAGCAGGGCCCACTTCCTGCCAGGTGTGGGGGAGCAGCAGCTCAGCTGGGCCTTGAGTCAGATGGGCACTTGCGGGGCACGGAGGCGCAGGGGTTGCCCCAGGGATCGATTTCCTGTGTTGCCCTTGGTCCTGGAAGCCCTGTGCTGCATCCTCCCTGCTGGGGTCCTTTGAGGGCAGGGTGACCTGGAGGGACAGCAGGTGTCTCCCACATGCTGGAGCGGCCTTGGATTCCTCTTGGGAGCAGAGCTGGTAACTGGGGGTGCCTCTCTCTACTAAAGGGGCCCAGGTCAGTAAGAATCCCCCTGGCCCACCCCACGCCCAAATTCTCCCTCCACGTGAGGGTGTCTCTGTGGCTGTAACCTGGGTTAGCAGTGTCCCCGTGGGAGATACACCGGCAGGGAGCTTCAGGGCTCCCAGGACCAGGGACAGCACCCGGCAGGGAAGGCAGTGGAGCCCACTGTCTCCTGCTGCTGCAAACTGTCCACACCCCAGTGGGGTTCCCTTTCCCATCATTCGCCCCTGTGGTAAATGTGCTCTTGGCCCTAACGATACCTGCAGCCCGAGAACCTTCTCCTGGCCAGCAAATGCAAAGGCGCAGCAGTGAAGCTGGCTGATTTTGGCCTGGCCATTGAGGTGCAGGGGGACCAGCAGGCATGGTTTGGTAAGTTCCCGGCTATCATGTAATGGGGGAGTAGGGAGGTGGGGTGGCCCAAGCATCTCCTCATGGCCTCTCCTCCGCCACCAGGTTTTGCCGGCACACCAGGATACCTGTCTCCAGAGGTCCTTCGCAAGGAGGCCTATGGCAAGCCCGTGGACATCTGGGCGTGTGGTGAGGACTGGGCGTGCTCAGGGAGGGGTGGAATGCCCCCCTCAGAAGGAGCTCTTCTGGGCCAGCCAGTCTAGCAGGTAGCCAGAGCGCTTGCCCACTGCCTGTGCAGGGCAGGGGAACTTGCACCATACTTAGTAGCAGGGTGGGGAGCTGGGGAGACCCTGGCAAGGGCAGTGCAGTGGTGAAGGAGCGGACCCTGGACTCCCCTCTGAAGTGGGGTCTCGGTTCCTGAGGGCCTGACTCTGAGAGGCTTTTGTGCTTGCCAACCCATGTGAAATGGTTTTCACGTCGTGCCACTGGCTCAGACTCACGGCACCCGTGGAAAGCAGAGGATGGTCAGGGCCCCAGAGAACTCAGGGAGGTCATCCGATGGGCCAGGCCCGCCCAGGCCCGCAAGCCCGCATGCGCCGTCTGATGGCCTGGAGGTATCTCCTGTCTGTAACCTCCCCGTCACACACCGAAGGCAAGTCAGGGCTGGCCTCGGGGCCCCAGGGAGGCCTGGCCCACTTCACACTGAGCCTGTGCTCCGGCCGCCTTCCCCAGGGGTGATCCTCTACATCCTGCTAGTGGGCTACCCGCCGTTCTGGGACGAGGACCAACACAAACTGTACCAGCAGATCAAGGCCGGCGCCTACGACGTGAGTGCTGACCCCACCCCCGTGAGCACGCACGTGTACCTATGTGTGTGTACCTGTCTGCCTAGGTGGGCGTGTGGGCACCTGTATGCACCTATGTGTGCATGAATACGTACAAGTGTGTGTACTTGTCTGTCTATGTCGGCGTGGGGGCACATACAGGTCAGTACATGTGAGTGTGTGTACCTGTCTGCCTAGGTGGGCGTGTGGGCACCTGTATGCACCTATGTGTGCATGAA